CGTAATATTTTCTCTGAATACCAGACGGGACGGTTGCAACTCTAATAACTTATGAACAAAATAAAGTTCAACATCATTAACTTCATAGCACCACCCAGCTGTATAGAAACTCCGTCATGCTAGCTAGCACGCAGTACGGAAAAAGTCAGAATAATGAAAATAAACTCCACCTAAACTTGGTTCATATCTGACCCAGAGAGACTGCAGGTCATAACTTCTTACCTGAAGTTCAGTTCACACTTGGACCGGCGGTCTCTTTTCCTTCTGCCTCCCTTTTCCTTCATCCACCTGCTGGCTTCCACCACTTGCTAATGTTACTGAATCTGTGGAAGCTCCGCGATAGCCACCACACGAAGTAACGAGTAACGAGCCTATCTAAATCCCAGTAACGAGTAACGACCCTATCTAAATCCCAGTAACGAGTAACGCGTTCCTGATTTTGGCTTAATAACTAGTTACCGTGCTCGTTACCACAATAATAACGTAGTTACTGTAACGCGTTACTTAATAACGCATTAGTCCCAACACTGCACATTAATAATATATTGATAATATATCTATATAACTGATTACATTTAATAAAATTACACTTGGAAGTTACATGCAGGAACATAATGCAGATACTTTGGATGAGCTTAATTCAATTACTGATTAAAGATGCCACAGCTCACAGCATGGTTGCGGTACTTTTGAGGGCTGCACATTTTGTCAGGTACCTGATCAAAATCAATTTCTTGGCTTTGCTCAGCTGAACAGATGTATCATTTCTGGACCAGCACGCTGGCAGAGCAAGTAACTAACTTCACTGATGGTTCAGTATTAGTATTGCTGTAGTTCATCAGAACATGAAAGCATCTTCGTTGATGGTCTGAACTCATTTTCCAAAACTGTATTTTCAAATTGCTTTCAGAGGGGAAAAAAAGACATAACTGAGCTGCACCAAGACAGTAAAACCCAGGACCTTTTAATCCAGTTAGCAGCTGTCAGATTATTGCATGATCTAAAGACTGCCAAATTAGCTGGCATATAACAAGACATTTTAAGGTTGCAAACAAAACACCTGGAGCCATTTAAATAAGTGCTACTGAAAAGCAATGTAATGCTTAGTGACTTGCATATAAAGATCCACTCTTTACAAAAAAAGCTTTGCCCTCAAGTGAAGGTTGTGTAGCTGTAGCACCACTTCCAGAACTTTTACAGATAAAAGGTTTGGTTAGAGAAGCAAAGCTCCATTAAAAACTGGTTTTCTCAAAACACATCATATTTAACCCCACCACCCAGACAGAGAAGCTCATACAGATGGAAACAACAAGGTGAATATACTTAAACACACATTCATTAATCACACTAATGAGAATCCATTTTAACTGAGGTATGTAATTCATCAGAATTTGAATTTAAAAATCTGTTTGGACAATTAAAATATGCACACATCACTCTCTCTCTTTTGCTCCGTTTCTTTGTCTCTCTCACTCACCTACCAAACCTAGTATTTGCATTAATCAGCCATTCAGTAGACAGAAAATTCTGTCACTGTCCAAAAGGACCAAATATATTCCACCTGCCTTAAAAAAGCCGTGGAGTTCAGTGGCTTTCTATCTGGACAAGCAAAGCTAGCAGTGCTTGCCTAGTGATACCTACAAATACTCATCAAAACCAAAGTGAATGTGGTCCCAGTCCTGTTATCTTGTGGCCACAATTGGCTATTGTGATAACATGTCTCAATTACATGTGCGTATGTATGTTCAGTTATTAAGCGCTTGAGCTGGTCAAACTGAGAGGCCAGCAGTGGGAGACCGATTTGAGATTAGTGTGCTGGATAATATTTAACATTGCAACTGATACGTTTTCTCTTCCTGACCAGCTTGGCCAACATGTTTAATGCAGATGATGTAGAGTGCAGTGTGAAGAAATTTCACTTGACTGAATGAATGTACAACATTTAACCAGCCATTTTGCTAATATACCACCTTCACTTTCCATTTATATTTCAATCTCCCTCTTTAACTGAGCTCAGCAGTAATATTATTCCATATAAGACTGATGAGGATGATTTTTCTGCAGAATAATTAGTTTTACTTTATGTATAAGAATAATTTTATGCGTAGTGAGTATTTTATTGCTTCTTTCGATTTCATTTTTTAAAACCTGTCCTGGCAGTTTTAGCAGCCAGAATCATGGCCCGAATGCATTGCCAAGAGTAGCACTATAGACCCTCTAGGCTCCTCTTGTAAGTATTTTTTTTTTGTTTTTGTTTTTTTTCTTTGTTATATAATATTGTATTTTATTTTA